TGATCTAAATTCCTGGAATCCAGTTTCAGAGAGGGAAAAATGGTGACATAAGGGGTTAATACTATGCTGTAGAAACCCACAAAGACTGGTGACCAGAACAAGGGGGAGCTCATGGACCCAGGCAGATAGTTGGGAAACCAGCATAGGACCGACCCAGATCCCCTGAATGTGGGTCTCAGTTAGGAGGCATGGGAAGTTTAAGGTCCCTCTGACTATGGGACCAGGATGTATCCCTGGTGCAGAAAATACTTTGGGAGCACATTCCCCATGGAGGGATACTCCCTTAGCCTAGGACTTGAGGGAGGGCATAGGCCCTATCCCAAATGACTTGACAGATTTTGATAATCCCTCCTGGAAGGTCTCACCCTCCCTGGAGAATTGATGGGGAGATGTGATGGTAGTCTGGGAAGGCTTGGGAGTATGGGAGGGAGAGGGAACTTGGATCAATATGTAAAATATGAAAAAATATAAAAATAAATAATAAGTGTATAAACAAAAATCAATCAAACAAACCAAGACCAAAATAAGCCACAAATACAGTCTGTTTTAGGGTCTTAGAATGGAGCTTTCCCCTAGGTAACTATAGAGTTGTGGAGGTCTGTCCAGCAGATGGGAAATGAGGTAACGGGTGGAAACAGGATATAAGCTGGGAGAAATAGGAAGTTGTTCTTTTACTTGCTGAAACACTAAGGATGTAGGGTGAGGTGGTGGCTTGCTTCTTTTCTCTGATCTCTCAGCATTTCCCTCTATATCTGATTCTGGGTATTCAGTTCTTAGACAAATTACACACTCCATTTATACGCAGGCTGTTCTCACTTGGGGCTGCTATGACTCTCTGAAAACCACTTCATTTTGCAGAAGATGTTTTTCAACTTGTAAAAGGAACTTATGATATTTAATTCATGACACTATTATGGAATGAGATGAGTCCGTGGGCATGAAATGGCCTAACTCACTGACTGGTACCCACTACACTGCACAGTAAATTAGCAGGACCAGTTTCATTCACTCTTCCAGTCATCCTTTACTCACAGGCTGGGCTATGAACAATACGAGCATATAACAACCCAACCCAGGAATAGTTGCTTACATCATAAGGTGTGGCTGAAGAAGCAGCTCTGCCTCCTCTCCTCATTGCACACTCCCTCCCCTATGGTATTATCACAAATGCAATGGATACATTAAAACACCAAGATAAGGAAGTATAGGGTAAATACTAGCTTGTTCTGTCATCCAGTTAGGGATTGAAAGTTTCCCAGGTTCTAGAACTGACTGCCTTGAATCTACCATTCTATAACTTGATAGCCATTTTGCACATGTTTATAGCTTTGCTAAATACTTCTTCTCAATAATATTTCTCACAGTGGCATCTACCTGTAATACCAGTAACTGAGGATAGTGGCAGGGAGGGACATGAGGAATTCAAAGTGAGTCTCAGTTACACAGTGAGTTAGAAGTCAGTTTCTGCTATATGAGACCATTTGTAAAAGTAAATACACACACACACACACACACACACACACACACACACTAGAGCAAACATTAAGAAGCTGAAGAATTCTCTTAGATATCCTGTTTCACTCCCAAATAAATACCTATTGCCTAAAATGCAAAGCTCAATTTACCAAAGCTCAATACCTTCTGCCTACAGACTTCCCACTGGATGCCCTCTGTGCTTAGCTTACAGTCCTACTATGAGTCTGTAGCTTGTAGTTCTTGTATCTATAGCATCTAGTGAGTGGCATACCCTGGGTTTCTGTTTAATGAAAGACCAAGAAGATCACAGAGATCCATTCAGTGTTAATCCTGAAAGTACAAGATCTGAATGATGTCTTGTAACTGAATATGTACTCATGAAAATGTCAACACCCCAAATAGTCAACAACCTTTAGGTGACCCTAACAAGGAACCTTTTATATTACATACCAGTCCCTTTTGTAAACCATTCACTTCTTATACCAGATGCAAATGTCATTGCCATTTTACATGTGGAGAAACTGAGGCACAGAAATGCTAAACCACACACACAAGAGAGAAGTAGAAAGCTGAGTTCTGAGTATAATACTGAGCCCATTCCATACTGTACTTCCCCTGTTAAGGATGTGTTTGTAGGTCAATAACCAGATACACAGTCTCTGCCTTTTGCCTAAAATGTTCATGGGACCATGGGACCAAGCACCTCACCTCACCAGATGAATCCAGAAAACATGTAGCATAGATACCCTTATTTCAAAAAATAAAGAAACAGAAGGTCTAAGCTGGGATCTCAGATAGTGAGCAGAAATGGAAGCCCTGAGCATTATTTTTGATTGACAGGCACACTCAGCCCTTCTAGTGAGGGCTGCCTGCCCCCTCCCTATACTCCCTCCACCCACCAACCCATCTGTGTGTCTCTAAAAATATGTACTTTGGCTCTTCCCTATGGAAATGATATCTCTCCTGCTTCTTGCTCTAGTCCTCTCTCTGTCTCTGCAGAAGGAGGAGGGCCACCAGACAATTAGCACAAGGTGCCAACACTAGTTTTATTGGGCACTTGCTCCATGTGAACTTTGGTCTTTTGATGTTGGTACCAGGTCCTCCCTAAGCCACAGTCCTACACTCCAACAAGGAGCCCCTCTGGGTTCTATGCAGCCCATGAATCGAGGCTATAGTCACCTTCTCAAGCTTCTGGTCTCCAAACTCCTGTTTAAATCCCCTTTCTCCAGGACAACCTTTCTGACAAGGCAATCTAGTCCACAGGCATTTAATGTATGGTCTTAATCTTCAAACTCTTGGCATCAATTGCTGATGAGCTGTGTGAGCTTGAGCCTTTGCATAGGCAGATTCATAACATAGTTTCATAACTCAGAAGTCTTGGGAGGAAACTGAAAGCATGCTATCTGTGCTTTGTGCAATGAACATTCCCATATTTCTTTGAAGCCAGTGGCCATGAGGTAGTCATCACATGGGTTTTACCCATCTCTGTGTGAGTGTAGATTTTAAAGAAAACAAAATAAACATTTGAGGGCTTGGTACACATCTACAATTACCATAATATGAATGAAATTGATATAGTAGAGCCAAAAATTTCATGTTTCTAAGTAACATATCCATCCCATTGTCACAGCATAGCCCACCTCTTAGATATTAGCAATAGCATTGGCTGACCAAACTATCGAAACAGGTATAAAAATGTTACAAGCTAACATGATTCATGTAACATCATACTTTGTAATGATAATAAGTCACTGTACTGGCTTATTAGAAGCAAAGTTTACTGTTCATAGTATGCTAAGTTACAAACATTGCTGCCTCTATTGGGTCTCCAAGGCTCATCTCTTTTACATAGTACTGGGCATTCTAATATCTAATTTCTACCTTTGCTCATACTCTATGGATTTACCTAAGTATATGAATGGAAATGGGATTTACCTAGTTATATGAATGGAAATGGATAAAACACTAAGTATTTAACAACATATGGGATATTGTAGGTTAGATTCACATGTTGAATTGCTAATGCCTATGCCTTACAATTTGAATTTGTTAATAGCATCATTGAAGATGTCATCAGTTATGTTAGGTTATGGTATAACAGGTTAGACCCTTAATTCAATAGGTCCATTGCCTATATGTAAACAGAATTTGAGACACACACACACACACACACACACACACACACACACACACACACTTGCACCATCCATATAAGAGGAATATTCCATGAAAACAGAATCATAGATGGAATGATACCTTTCTAAGCCAAGCAATGTTATTATAGTCAGTCAACCCTATTATTGCTGCTGTGAGGACTAGCCTCCAGTAGCTCAGATATTGTGGGGGATGCTCAAAGTCAGCGGACTAATCACTTAACTTGACTTTTCTATATGAGGGAGTAAAACTTAATTCTTGGGGCTAGTGAGAGGGTTAAAATTAACCCTCTAGGGCAAACAAAAGAGGGGGGAAAAAGGAAACACACATATCTCCAACATGTCAGGATCCCATCAAGGGTGCTGATGAATGGCAAGCCTTCAGCAGGTCAGAGAAACTGAAGAGAAGATGCAGAGCACGTGAACAATTGGACAAAGATACAAGTGGACTTTTCTGATGTCCAAAGCTTAGTTCTTTATGTTACTATTCTTTCTGTTGCTCCTACCCTAATTCCTTTCTGTTCTGTTCCTCTACACTATGTGTTCTTAATTTTTCCTTCTAATTATATTTTTCTTTTACAGCTCATATACCCCAGCAAAATCTTTCAATCAGTATAAAAATTACAAAATGTGATTACATTCTATTTTTCAAGTGAATAACTACATTGAATACAGCACTGTGATTAAACAGTTTACATATTACAGGTGAAAACCATGTTGTTCAAAGAACCCTCATACATTCATACCCAAACAACTCGTTATAGAGTAACAAAGTGTGAGCAAACAAGTTATTTTTCTCAGTCAGTTTCTTTTACTATCAGGCTGTATTTTTGCAGTTACAAAGGCCAATCCTTTTATTATTTATCTCAGAAGTTAGTTGTATAAAAAAAAAAAAGACTCACAAATTGTTGGCATTGGTGACACACACCTTTAGTCTCAGCACTTGGGAGGCAGAGGCAGGCCTCTGTGAGTATGAGGCCTGCCTAGTCTACAGAGTTGGTTTCAGGACAGGCTCCAAAACAATACCAAGAAACCCTGTCTCTAAAAACAAAAAACCAACCAACAAAGAAACAAAAAAGGCACACAAATCTAAACTTTTATATATAAAAAAAATCTCTACCTTAAATCCTCAGGGTCTAAACAAAACATACTTACTTACATACATACATACATACATACATACATACATACACATACATACATATATATTAGGTAGTTGAAGGCAGAAATGGGTAAATGGACTTAATCATAACCTCTGATGACCAACTCATCCAAGCAAGAAAGGTATTTCAGCCAGCAATAGCCAAGCTACCATTGTTCCTGTTCCCTGACCTAAACAAGTCCCTTCTTCAACTATTAAAAATGTGCCTTGTCCAAGGTGATTCCCTCTCCAAGGTAGAGTTCCCCTTTTAGGAATGTAGCAATTTGGAAGAAAACTTGGCATGCCTGAGGTCTCTGGGGAACAAGAGATGGTTGTTGCCTTTGCCTGCCTTGGCTGTTTACATGTATGCCCACTTAACCTGGATAGATTGTATCTTTTGACAGCTCTATCAACTTTCTTGACCTAGGCAGCAGGTCTCCTTAGTCATCAATTACGTCCTTTGTACCAATATGGAAAACTACATCCACAAGAATTCATCTCAGTGAATAGCCATAAAGGTATGGCTATTAATATGATGACAAAAGAAGACAAGGGTACTCTTTAAGACATTCTACAACACCTTAATTGAAGAGATGAGATGGCCTTCAATTTTGCTGAATTCATTGAAGGACTAAGCTGTCCTGCTACCTGACCTAGCAAGGGTTCAGTCTTGAGGGGGGGGGTTGATGAACAGCTGGAAGGAAGGGAGCCAAGAGATGGACATCTTGATTTTGTTTTGTTTTTTATTTTCTCACTCTTTTAATAAATCTCACTTTTTTGAGGCAAAAAAGCATTTTTATAAACTTTAAATTGTTCCTCAAGATTTTCAACTTCAAAGCCATTAACAAAAACATCTTAACCTGAAAGACCCCCACTATGCTTATTGCCTGTTTAAATTGCTCTTGCTAATTTGCCAAGGTCAAACTATGAGAAAAGTACAGGAGGGAACCAGGAACAGGCTGCTCTCATCCAACGCCAACCAGATATCTGTGGTCTGCAGCTTGGACCAAAGCAAGGTCAGCAGGACAGTGTCCAGTATGCTGAGATAGTCATAACTGAATTCTTTGTATTCTTTGTGCCCAACCCGAATAACCAACTGTCCTTGGTTAACTACAACTGCAACATTTAGATGAAACAATGAAATCCCTGTAACCATGCTTCTGCTTCTGTAAGCCTGCTTCTTGCCACCCCAACCCTATATAAACTGCCTGAGTTTTAACCTCAGCACGCTCAGTTCCCCGAAAGACTGAAGCGTCCACAGGTACCTGTGTAAACAATAAACAACCTCTTGCACTTGCATCCAGTGGTCTTGTCTCGTCTCTTGGGGGCAAGGGCCTTCCCCCTGACAGGCTCCAAACTCTTGGGGTCTCTGGGGGTCTTTCAAACCTAACAATACTTCAATCTATATGTCTAAATTCTTTCTAAGGGTGGTGGTTGAATCATTAATCTGCTCCAGTAGCGATGCTTAGAAAAAGTCAAACACTATTATTGTAAATACCAGTAACATTGCCCAGTGAGGGGCTACAAAACGCCTGAGAATTTTCACACAACCCATAGATTATGTGGAATGTGTCAGCAATGAAGGCAACAATCAGAGCTATGCTGAATAACAGTATGAGGTCTTCAAGACATATAGTCTTCTAGGTTTTGATTCTCCAAGGCTGACTCAGGAATGGCTTTGCCAACCACCCAGCCATATCCAATGAGTTCCACTGTTGCCTGTTGGTCCCCTCATGTGGCCCCCTGCACCTAAGAAGCTGAAGATGCAGGGATGTGCTCTCTCATGGCTGGTAACTTAATTTCCCACTCCTGGCCTCCAGAAACAAAGGTAAATGTTTCTGTATAGAAGCTGCCAGCTGTGGCACCTTTAGAAAATTCATATGCGGAACCTAAAACTGTGTAATGGCTCCAAACTAGAAATATGACAGCTTTTAGAGTTCCCGTGTTGCCCCAGGACAACCCACTAACATATAGAAAAACACTTGATGAAAAGGGAAGTGGCTGTTTAGCATCCTTCAGGACACAGAGCTACATTTTAAAAACAATGCTTATATCCACACCAAACATCACCATGATGATGATGAACAATATAGCATGTTAAAAAGAAAACTCACCGGCGGGCCCCTTGGTCCTTTAGGCCCCTGTGGTCCTGCAGGTCCAGTATCACCCTGGAACAGAGAGGGGTCATATAATAATAGAGCTACATGTGAAAATGACAAAGGTCTAATGTGTACCAGATTCCAGCAACAGACCCAGGAACCCAGCACTGTGTCCAAACACTTCCTTTTGGGTGCCAAGGACTTAAAACATGCACAAATTTGTTTCACCCAAATGAGGAGATGCTTTCCAGTTCACATTTGTTAATAAGTATGTTTATTTGCTGGCTAAGGCATAGTACACCTGTTTCCTGGTAGTTTCTGGTAGTCATATCTTGAATTAAGGTAAATCAAAATGAAAAATTCACTGGATAGTAATCTACAGCCATTCCTGCCTAAGTCACCACAGTGTGAAATCTGCCACCCAACAGTACCACCACCCCACACAGTGTCTCAGATAGCCTCAAGGACCCTACCTACTTGACTGGTTTTACAACCATATCTTAATTAAGGTTACTATTACTATTACCAGAGAGGAAAGGGTTTCTCTTACTCTTCCTTATCACAGTTCATCATCCTAGGCAGTTGGGGCAGAAATAGAGCCCAATAAGAAGCCTTTCTTGCTGGTGTGCTCCTCATGGCTTGCTCAGCCTTCTTTCTGCTAGAAGCCGGAACCAGTAGCCCAAGGGTAACATCACCCACAATGGGCTTGGCTCTCACATACCAGTCACTAATTAAGAAAATGCCCACTAGGCTTGTCAACAGCCAAGTCTTACAGAGGCATTTTCTCAATTGAGGTTCCCTCCTCTTGAATGACTCCAGCTTATGTCAAGTTGACACAAAATTAATGAGGACAAACTACTGGGAGAAAAAAAAGAGAACTAGACTGACTTTCCCATAAGATAACTTCTAGTTCCTTCACAGCCGGTCTACCAAAGCAAATATGCTATAGCATTAAGAAAAACAAGAGGAGTCCATATGCTAGATAGGTTCCCATGGGGTCATGAAAAATATAAAGGTCTAGAAGAAGTCAACTTGGGACCTTGGGTGTATACCCAAATTTCAGTGCACCTGGCAAACTATCATGTACAATAGGTAGCCCAGTCTTGGGGAATGGGCATGGAGGGTGAGCTACAAATATGGCCTCTAGGGTGGCTACTACTACCCTTAAGTCTCTTTATGACAGTATTCTCATTTGTTCCTCCCAGAGAAAAGCTCTTCTTTCTCTGTCCTGATTTCAAGACCAAATAAAAGTAAGAGACATCTGAGATGTCCAAAGTGAGATACATCTCAAGAACTTCTGCTGCTACTGCTAATGGTGGTCTTGATGATGGTGGTAGTGGTGATGATGATGAAAGTGCTAGAATTAGTGATGGTTTAGAGATGATGATGGTAATGGTTACGGCATAAGTCATATTAATGGTAGTAATGATGGGGGCATGGGGCAGTGGTGCTGTTAATAATGGTGGCAATGGGGGTGGTGATAATGGCGATAGTGTTGATATCAAATGGTGGTAGGGACTTTGAGGGATTCATAACTACTATGATCACCAAAAAGACCAAGAGATAAAGAAACAATTAAGGGGGGCATGAAATGCCCCTCACATAATATAAAATAGCTGTGGTGGGTCCATCATTGTACAGTAGACAAATCAGATAAACCCAGAAAAGCCTCCATAAACTGTGAGGTACAGGCTAAGGCCAATGAATGGAAGAAGCTCAAGTCCCAATGAAAACCAATTATGTGTCATTCCAACATCACAGAACTGCCACCTGACACTATGATGGGATTCTTAGGTACCCCTTTCTTGTTCTCTCAACAACTGAAGGCCAAGGAACCTCAACTTACATCTTTTCCTGGTGATCCTTCCCTTCCAGGGGGACCAGTAGTCCCAGGTTCTCCCTAGGGACAAAAGAAAATTACTGTTAGGGACCGGGTTGATTCAGCTAAAGTCCATTGCAAACACATAGTATCTAAAGGTGTGGGAGAAATGCAGAGTCCAAGAAGGTTATCAGACAGAAGTGCCCTCTACAGAGAATGACAGCCTCTCAACCCAAACAGAACTGGATTCCAGGAGACTAGGGGGAGCTGTAAGTGTCTCCCCAACAGGGAAAGCAGGACAAACACAAGATGATGGGTCAAGTTGAAACTGTTTTAGCCCCTGTCACCTGGTTATCACTGGTTTTTCTCTCTAGCTCTGTCCTGGTTGTCCACAAAGTTCAAGGAATCCAACCAATGACCCAACAGTCTTTTCAGTTTGGGGCATTTTGAAGAGAAGGGTATTAAAGAATAAGAAGAGATTCTAAGAGCTACCCACCTGACATAAGGCCTAAGTGTTAACATACATGCTCTATGATCTGGGAAAGTCACCCATGACCTCTGACCTGAGTTTGCTGCTCTGTAAACAAAGCCTAATACCATGGCTTACTTCATGGGGCTTAGGAGACATGTGAACAGCCTACATCATACAAGCAACCTGAGTTCAGGTTGATTTGGCTAATTTGGATAGATGTGATTGTGGGCCCAGAACAACCATTTACAAGATTCAACTCAAAAGTCAGAATTGTGCTACCCACTGTGACACCATGCTAGCACGTCTACTGTTCTTTCCTGAACAGAACAACAAGATAATGTCCCTCAAACCTTGGCATTTTCTTCCTGGTGACTGTCAGTTCAGAGTCATCTACTTACCCTCAGACCAGGTGGGCCAGGATCACCTGTGTGTCCCTTGAAGCCCTGGAAGAAATACAATAAACTTATGACTCCTCAGATAATAGGCTTGGAGAGCGAAAAAGCAGAGAGCTGCAAAGTTGCCTGTATCATCCCATCTTCTAGTTGTGACTTACCCTGTTGCCTCTTGCCACCAGTTTCAGGGTGTCAGGCAGGGGTAGAAGAAAAGACATCAAGGAGAGACAAGAAGCAGCAAAGAGAGGCCTTCTCTGTGGGGGCCCCACTTTGAATAGTGATATAACCATTAAAAGTGCTCATTTCATGGTCTTGAAGCCCCAAAATGTGTATTTTGTTTTTCCATTTTATAAGTTCAGTCCTGTGTATCACCCAGAGAGAGAAAATGTACCATGATTCACACATAGGCACTTCCAATATAGAGGACACTTCTCCATGGCCATTTGCAACAAGAGGAGGACAGAAAGCTTGTATCATCATCTCCTGACAACACAAGCAAATGAAGACACAACTAGGGAGCAGAAAGCTTTAAGGTGAGACCATCCAAGGAGAACTCTATCATCTTAAAAGGCCCTCCAGTGTAT